TTGAGCAATTTAGATATTTTAAAAACTAATGTGTCTATATGTTGAGATGATAGCATGTCACTAAAGATAATGAATTCATCAAGATCAACTTATTGCTAGTATTTTTTTATAATCACATTTTTTTTGGCTAGATTCATAATTTTTTATGCTGGTCCAACTCAATCAGATCATGGATACGCATGATGTGCAAGTTCAAAAGATCTTTGTTTTGGTTAAAAAACACGACAGACCTGCAGGATCCAAGCACAAGACAAGCATCACCAAAGACAAATCTCAATTTTAAAACGTGAAAGTACGCAAGTGTGGAGAATGTGGTTAATCAGTACACACATCTCAAGAACTTGTCCACAAAATTAATTAAGCTGATAAAAAGACGCACTTAAATTTATTTTGTTTAAAATTGGATAGAAAAAAGGTGTGAATACAGTAAAGAATGTGTCAAAATATAATTTTCTATTCTTAGTTCATCTTGCTTTATGAAATATTTTAACACATCATTTTGTATCAACTCAAATAAGTCTTTGAAACTATGAATGAAATCCAATATAAAAAAACTAATATGATGCATGATACAAATCTCTAAGTGAGTTTTATTTAAACAATATTTCAAGCCCATATTGCAAAAGAAAGTCAAATCCACATTAATCATGTGTTTCATCTCAGATAGTCGAACATGAATCTTTAGTTTATTTAGACTTTATTGTGTATGACTCCTTGATCAAATTTGATAGAATCTGAATGAGAATATGGGTAATCATAGCACTTTGCTAAGTCAATTCGTAACATAACTATTTCTTTGAATAGCTTTTGATGTGCACTTCAATTTATATATTCCTGACTTTACTAGAGTTGGCATTTTGTAAAAGATCCATTCTCTTCAATAGTATATGATCTTGAGTTGTATTTTTTATAATTATGGATAGTTTAGGAATATTCACACCATAGAACAGGTTACTTGAAAAGATTATTGATAATTTTTCAAACATTCCAATCTAATATTTGATATATATAGATAGTTTTTTCATTTTGCAAAAAAATTTGAAATGTGTTAAAGTTTGTGGTTCCCTTGGTGATATCGCTTGTCTCATATCATCTGGGATCATGGCTGCAATATCTTTGGAATATGATCATAAGATGGATCTTGGATTTGATACAAGAACAACGGTCATTCAACCATTGGACTACAATCTTTTGTGTTGTGAAAAATTCAATTAGTATCATATAATAGAAGTCATATCACACAAACAACATTGGAATGAGATGGAAACAATCATTGTCTTCATATTGTCGCATTGATTTTGATAACACTTTGCAATTTTTTGAAAAGAAGAAATAAAAATACTTTTTTGTTCCACTTTCAAAACCATCGTCATAATTTCCATAGCAGTATGATGAACTAAATCAAACGGATGATTTTCTATACTTTTGATTGTTACTGTGCTTTTAGATTCATATGATAGACTAGCTAAGAATTCAAATGTTCCATCTTTTAACTCTTCATTAGATGTCAAAGTTGATGCATGCTTGTTGAGTCCATATGTACATGTTTTATCTTTCTCAATTTGATCTTGCATTTGTAATTCTTCATGTGTGCAGTGAAGCATGACACCAAACTTTCTAGTAAAGTCCAAGATTTTACTTCAAATTTGTACCAATATTCAACATAACCATCAACAACAACATCTCCTCATCCATGCTATTCAAATTGCGCCCATGTATTCAAAAATTGTGTTGTGTATAATAAATGTCATTTGTCAATTCTTTCTTTAGTTCATTCTCAAACACTTTGCATTTAGTGAACTAGATCTAGATGATTCCATCTCAATTACATATGTGCAGGTAAAATCAGAAGACATAGGTGCTTGAAAGACGCACAAGTAATCTCTAATGTGGATTTAATTTACTCAATGCGCATTCTTCTCGCAATCCAATAACACATGTCAATACATTATATTGAAATGACAAACATGTTAAGATCTTGATCAAAAGCAATATTAATAGATATGTGCTTCATGTGAAAGATATGATCATACATATCCATTTGAAAACAATAACCACCCATGAAAAATATTATCAAACACATGGAATTGGAGATCAATGTTGAAATCCATTTTCTAGACTTCTTTTTGTGGATCACTCGCATCCATGCGTAGATATAGTTAACATTCGCTTATGTCCGCATTCATATAAGTCTGCATATTTTCTTTCAAAAAACCAGATCAATATTTTATTACTTATTCAATGCATAAAGTCAAACTAAGTCATTTGACAGCTGTTGTCATGGCCTTGCAAGTAATTTCCAACCTACATCCTTGCAAGATGCGGCGTAACGTGAACTGTGCTGATTTCACTTTATAAATTTGCTCCAATGACAAAAAAGCTCATTTGTGAAGATTATTTTAATAGTAGACAACATCTTGTAGTGAGTCATTGATTACATCATGCAGTCAACTAACGCTTCACTCGTATTCAAGGCTTTGCGATTTAAATAAATATCACGGGTACAGAAAAGTAGAAAATGGAATCACATACATAATTCACTAGAGTAGGTGTCTCTTCATTCTTCTTTCATCTTTGCAATGATCTTAACATTGCTCTATTCTTCCATAAGAATAATCTTTTGTTGTAGTCTTGATGAACATCTAAGTGCTTCGTGCCACATTTTGACTCCTTAAGTCTTCACAGTTAAGATGTATCATTCTTATTCTTCATTAGACATCTTCACCTCCTCTCGGGTCATTCAATTGAGAGGTTAGATGAACTACTTGCTTTCAGCCCCTTATCCTGACGATGCCAAGGACTTTGACCAATTTACAACACGTCACAGTTGTTGGTCAAAGAACATTTTTTATTTTTCCTATACATTTGTGGATTTCATCCCAATACAATCAATCATAGTTATTAATTTTATCAAATATTGATACAATTCCTAACATAGATGACAAATAGATCATAATTTATTTATCTAAAAGTTTTATGACATAATTTTAAAATAAAAGGTTTTTTAATGAAAAATATGTTTTATTTAAGTTGAAAATATTTATTAAAAAATAAAAATATTACAAACTGAATTTTAAAAAAATATGAATACATATAAAGTTTTTGACATAATTTGTTTTCAATATCTCTAGTCAAATTTAAATCTGAAATTTCATATGATTTTTTTCAAAAAAATATTCAGATTTTTTCCATAGTTTTTTTTTTAATTTTGAAAAATATCTTTGAAATAATTTATAGGTAAAAATTAAGCACTGGAATTGAATAACGCAAATAAAATAAAAAATTAGCTTGATATTGATTTTCAATTAAATGAGATAATTACAAAATATTTCTTGTTTATGATAGTTGTTGAAATAGCTTATAGCAATTTCATATTAAAACAATTCACAATTCACTTAATTACAAGAATAAAAACAATCTGTTGTGAATGTAATGAATATAAAAATCATCTGTAAAATAAATAAATATGCATATATATTTACATCTTTTAAAGCATTATTATTGCATGTGCTTACACGAAATAAAGTGAATCAATATTTATAATATTTGGAGATTATATAATTTTTACGTAAGAACATCAAATTTTATCACTAAAACTAAGTTCATGCATGTTTTATATTGAGGTTTTTTACTACATAAAAAAAATTTGTATCAAAAAATTTAGAATTATCAAATATTATATGAAATGTTATCATATTTCGTCAGTATTCAATCAGGTCATTAATCCAATAACATGAGCTTGTTTTATATTTGATTGATTGCAACATCACATATTTAATCTTGGCTATTAAGGATATATTATTGAGGATATTATTATATTAATTATTAGTATTATATGAAGTATATATTTTATAATATTCACTTCTTTTGTTCCAAATCATAAAATTCTAGAACTTTTGGCAGATTCCAACAGGAAGAAATCTTCTTCTTTTATTCTACATGAAGATTCTTACTCTCGTAAGAATCTTTGTTTCAACTTTTTTCCGTGGAGATATTATTAGACTCGAAGGTTATATCATTGAATCAATTTGATATAGATTTGTGATACAATTTGAATATAATCCAAAAATTGTATTTCAAATTGCATATTTGATTAATTAATTATCTAAAATGCATAAGCATCTCACAACCCTAAACCCCTACATAATCTGACTGATATGTGATGGATAAATAATTTTTTGGTTGTAGACACGAGATCTGAAAATGATTCCCAATTCCAAAAAAAAAAAATCCATGTTCAAATGACTTGTGATTTGTTACAACAATCAAGCACAAAATAATTTTACAAAAATACAACAAAACTTCAAATTTTTATAACTATTTTATACATGAAAGAATAAGACAGACTTATTAATCTTATTTGTACCATCTTTGTCACTAATTTGTATATATGAAAAGACAATATAAACTGTAACAATACAGACAATTAAACTGTAAAATTCATGTGATTAGTATACAGTGGCATGTATTAGAAGTTGATTATTATTACAAGTTGTTTATTATTATAACTCCAAGTTTGTAAAGTATATATGTCTTCATTATAATGTCCTCAATATTAGTCTTATTTAGTTTTCATAACTATCATGATTTATTTAGATTATGCATTAATTCCTTGTAATTTCCAGATGCTGCATGATGTATTGCTGATACAGAATGAAGCAAAACACTTATTATCAAACACTTTCTATGTACATTATTAATGTGAAATTTTACCAAGTTTATCTTACGTTGGTGTATGTATATCTTTTATCGGGGTGTCAAATCCAGCAACTCAGTAATAAGAGTTTGCAAAATCAGATGCCAAGTGCGAAAATAGTCATGACTGTGGAATATACATGAATTGTACGCTTCGCTGAAGTGCTTCCGATTGTGCACACGATCCTGTCGGTTTTGATTCAAATACTGGACAGACGAAATTCAACAAAAGGAGATAACATATTTCTCGATCTGAGTCATGGTTTTCGCGACGGATCTGGCGTTGCAAATTTCATGACTAGGGGATTTGTTTAGTCTGTCAAAGAAGAAACGTATAGAATCACTTAGTCGTAGCTATGTCGTTGAGCAAGAACTGTTTCTTATAACTAGTTGGATTAACGATCTTGGACTCAAGTGGTCGTTCCGTAATTGATGATCGACAGGCATCTGGTGCTTGATCTGACGATCCAAACATCCCCATGCTTGATCTGAAGATCCCCATGGTGCTGTGTTGATGCCATGCTTCAAATCCGTGAGGTCATACAGAGCATTGAGGGACAGAGGACTGCGTGTACGGCAAGCAATAGGATTTCAACCTACTGATTCACAATCTGTTTCGCATGTCGATTAGGGTGAGTAGATAAGAAACCTCTGGCAGACCCTTCCTGTATTTCACTGAAAGGACTAAAACACCACAAAACTTGTTCCCCCTTGCATTTCAGTTCGTAGGTTTACTAACGAAGTCCAAAGCCAACTGTTCAATGAACTACCAAGTGAGTAAGTTATCTCTCTCAGGTTCTTCTGAAAGAATCGCTGGTGATCCTGCAGTTCGTCCTGCAGCCATATGTTTTAACGAAGCTTCTGTTTCGCATCGCCTGTCTTCATCACAGGTATACAAGCGAAACGAGATACCTTCGTTCTCTACAGATATCAAAGTCATGTTAGTTTCCGCCGAGCTGTTGAATTTTCTACATGTACGAGAGGCGTGCGCACCTGCCGGCATGGGACCCATACCCTGTATCGATTGGAGCTGAATTCCGCCAACTGGTTGTCCACCTTTTCTCGACAATCAGAAACTACTTAACAATCACACTCTTTGACGAAAAACAAATGCGATACTCGGGCCTGCAGTCGGCAGATTCTAGACAAACACGATGAGACAAGGACTATCCTGCGATAACAGAGCTTGCGTGGTATCGTGCTGAAACCACTTGGAATTGTTGGTAGGGTCTCGTAGTGACATTCCTAATCGGAAGATACACTTCTTAGAGTGTTCTGAAATCTGAACCAACTAAAAAGCAGAGTTCATCAAGGAGCTGGCAGTTCTGAATATACCAGAAAAACAGGACTGCAACAGGCATAATCATTCTAATGGTGATACGGTTCTCTTCCATCAGCAGTACATGGAGAAAAAATTAATGATAACAGCTGAAGATGTCGAAGGAAAAGGATCAATGACTCACTCTAACCGACTACGCAGCATTACACACATCAGCCGACAGGCTCGAAAGTTCGGTCTGGCTACCCCTGGTCAGAGTTATGATATGCTTAATATATGATAGATATATACAAACTAGACTCAAGCTCTACTTATTTTTGGCTTGAATGCACCATTAATTCCAGCATAGTGCTCACGTATGTCCGGATCTGGCTTCGGCTATACAATGGTGAAGGATATATACTTGTAATATGAAGAGCTCCCTTCCTGACAGAATCAAACATAGCAAGGGCTGGCCCCACTCCATGAATCGACGAGCACCCAAGATAATGCTCAACGCCCATTTCTTTGGCCAAGTCCTCCATTTGAACCAGAATTGGATCTCGGAACAGCACCAGCTGGGATGTTCGCATAGATGATGATGGTGTCAACGCTGGGTGTGAAATAGCCTGGTACATGAGAAAGTTGAGATCTCCCATGTCTGTAAAGTGTTTCCTGTTTTTCATTGCGTTCTCGAGGGTAGTTGAACATCTTCGTGCCAATTCCCAGAAATCAGTAACCTCATTCACATGGTGAGTATTCATGAGAGCAGAATGGTAAAAACCGACAACCGATTGCGGTAGCTTCGGTTCCAGGTACTGACGGCAGTCAATCAATGTACAGAGGGCATAATGTTCTGATCTCCTCGCAAGCTGCTTCATTATTGCAGCGGCCTTCAGTCCTGCTGCACAAAGTACTCCATAAATGTTGGTGTTCTCCTTCTGGCATACTGCCAAGAGCTGCTGCGTCTGCTCCACACTAAGGACAGAATGGATGACTTTCGAGCGTCGAGGCTCCATAGGATTATCAAACGGTAGGAGGGCATGTCGTCTTGAACCCAGCGAATACCCTAGCAAGTCAATTCCATGAGCCCAGAAGGGCTTGTTGGCCTGGCCGGGCGGAATTGCATCTTCCACCGACATCAGTCGCATTTCTGCCGAATCGGACAACGATTCCCCATCAACCAGGACGGGGCTCGATTCATAATCATCTTCAAGGAGCGGACTCGGAGGTGGACAGTGGCGCATCGCTCTCAGAAGGTCAACCAGCAATGTGGCTGCAGCCACCCGATCACAGACAGCCGTGTGCACTCGGAAAACGAGAAGAGAATAGTCCCTCGGTCGTAAGTAGAGGCGCACCACCAACATCTTCTGGGGAGCCAGGGAATGGTGCTGTTCTGGCCATAGATTGGTGTTCAGCTCGCTTTCAACATGATTCATCCAATCATGTTCTTCTGCGTCCTGCATATCTCCACAGTGTCGGTCCTCTTGATCCTGCATTTCGTCTACCTCCTCCTTCACTTCCTCACAAGACCCTCTGGCTGAGCTCTCGTTGCGAGCATCAATAACCTCAACCTCGACATGTGAAGAATCGCCGACTTGGAAGGCTGGCTTACCTTCAATCCAAACCAACTCAGAGCGCAATCTCGGATGTCGGATCTGCAAAGAATCGACAGCACGCTGCAGGGCCGAAACTTCGACCGGGCGAGAGAAGAGCACGGCTAGAACGGTGATCCCAGTTCCACTACCAACTGCTCGACACCAATTGTGCTCCGTGTCACCCATAGTTCTGCTGTGCAATCCTTCCAGCACCGCTTTATCGACAACTATGTCCTCCGCGGTTTCTGTCAACGCGCCCTCGTCTGCACGAGGAGCATGTAAGCCCTTCGCATCGTCCGCGGCGGATGCCACAGTTGCAACTGTCATGTTGCTCCACCAGCTCGTCAGCTCGAATCTCCAGCGACGAGCAACTCCCGCCCAGCCTCAGTGCCACAAAGTGCAGAGCTCAGAGGAGTTCTTGCTCTTACACTCTCCCTCCGAGGATAGGAGACAGAATCGCTTCGACGAGATTGGGCTCAGCGAAACGATGCGCAAAGCCCGAGCTTCACGAAGCGGACATGAGACATGAGATAAGATGTCGAAGCAGATATCTGTGCCGTGACAGGGGGTCCAACATGCGATCTATCCCCAGAAGTAGGCCAAGATGTCGGAGCGCCGTCTTTCACCGCGCCTCACCAATCCGAGCACCAGCCTTCCGACTCGACATTCGAGTTCGGCGCCGCGTGGTGGGGACAAACGTCCAAATCCTCAGCGAATGTGCTCAGAATCTCCTCATCCGCTGCCCAGTCTGAACGACTTGTTGGGCCACCTCGCCGTCTCGCATGCCCCGGCACGAGTTTCATCAGTCGCTCGACCTCCCAGTGCACGAACAACGTGCAGGAGTGGCATGCCTTCACTCCCTGCCCAGTGTTCAGCGCGCTGCGTTCGTATGAGCCCCCGCCTAATAATAATGGCCGCCGGCGTCTTCCCGCACGAGACCTTATCACGAGCTGGCTGCCCAGAATACTCGAAACCGGCTGCCTGGTTGGTTACCAGGTCATCGAGACTCGTTGTGTGAACGATTCTGCAACCTACCGGGTTTCATACATACAGCCATGGAATAATGACAGTCGGGCAGTAAAATGCGTCGTACGAAGAACTGTGGGGACGGTCCTTCTGACGTGGCAGCTGCCAACTGCCAACTTTGCATCTTCTGATTATGATCCTCATGGAGATCCATAGAAAGTACTCTACCATGACCTGATACGTGGATTTTATGAGAATGATGACATTTCGATCACCGGGTTGAGAAGCTATTCTCTAACTCGTGAGTGGAAGAAACTAAGACAGAACGTATCCTTAATGTTGATGGACTTCTGACCAATGTTCTAAAGGATTCCGACATCATATTCTCCATCGAAATCCAGTGCAGAAAAAAGTTTTCTGGAAGTGAAGATCGATGTGTGTACATATCTATCTCTTCTTTCCCATATCTTTTATAACGTGAGACTAACAAGGTAAATACATAGGGTGAAAGAGCAATGAAAATCTAACAAGAGTACTAAACAATATGCACATGGAACATAAAGCAACGGTTTGAGAGAAAAATATTGTTCATTAATTGGTGTATGTATCCAGTTGCAGTCCTAACATGACTACAGGTGAATTGACCGAATATGTGGTTATTGGAGATACATAGTAAGCATCACCAAATTCTTTTCACATTTGCAGAGTTTATCGTATTTTGTTGTGCAACGCACATATGCAGGCGCAGCCTAAATTACTTAAATGTTTTTCCCTTTGTGTACTAAATTAATGCTAATATTGTATGCTTCCTTTATACACATGATCTGAATGGGGTGTTATCTTATTCATCAAAGACACCATATTGTATCTTTGAGATTCACACCCCGCTATCATATCCGACATCCAAGGTTTAGGCAACTTACACCAAGACCACATCTTTATATCATCCATTCTCATGGTGCTTAGTACTCATTCATTACCCTTGGTTTTTTGCCATATTATTTCAAGCATATTTTTAGTGTTTGAAGAGTACGAAGATCAGACTCTCTCTTCTTGAGAAATCTGCTAGATTTTGAGGAGACTGCTATCTGGTTAAAAAACATTTCAAGTTGTCACAACTAGTGATAAGTTCACGAACGTGTAATGATTTTTGCCCTCTTACCGAGGAAATGCTAGCCGCACTTGTGGAAATTGGAAGCAAAAGTCTGATCAAACTCAGTGCAGGGCACAATAAGAGATATGATTCAAATTGAAAAAAAATTGGTAGACCTTGTGCAAAGGGGACTTCACGTCTCTCAAGAACTCAAACTTATTGTAAACTCGAATGGAGAGAGTTGTTTGATGTGCACCGTTGATCCAAATAAATGAACAAGCTGACAACTCTGCTGATGAATCTTAAATGCTAAAGATTACTTTGTAGCAAAGATGGTGAGATGTGGATGGACAATGTCATGAAATGCTTGGAAGCATATTTATTAGAAATCTAAGTTTTTTGCGTTGTGTAAAATCGCATTTCTTTGACCCGTCGTGAAATTATCACTAAAAGTGATAAGTTCTATTGACCTCTTATGGAGCACTTTTATAAAAAAATAGTAGCCACAATTCCAGCAATCAAGATCGTTTTGACGATCATCTTTACTCAGTTTAGCTTTGAATCCAATTTATGAGATTGTTTCTGAATAAAGATGCAGTTATTTCTTTTGTTAACAAGTTTCTTTCTACTGAAAAAGATTAAATTATGTTGGCACTTTTATCTTAGGTCTCAACGGAGTTGTCTTGACATGCATGACATTTGAAAGAGTTTCTTTAGATAAAACTAACAATAATCTAAATTAGCCTAAATTCACTTTCATGATGAGACTAAATTAAATTAATTTAGGTAATTCAGTCTACTGATTGATATAAGCATGTCTGCATATATGCTATCAAAATGCTAATGCATAACAAAAAGCATGCATATGTCTGCCATGATAGAGTGAAGATATGTACAAAGTACTGTACCCAACTATACAAAAATTAAAATTCATCTATTCCAAGTAAAGAATATACTTTCAGCTTCAAGAATTAGTGTGCTTCAAATTATTCTTATCCCTATCATGTGTTGAGCTTTTTTATATATTTTTCACATTTCATAATTTGAGTTTTGACTTGCATATAAATATCTTAAGCTAAATTTACAAAGTTCTTTAGTTCTTTGTAATCAATGTTTTATATAACCAATGAATCATAATACTATTTTAAGAATTTTTATTATGTCATCATCATCAATCTCAAGTTTTAAGTTGTGATAATATCAAAATTTTAAAATCTTTTCAACTTATCATATCAATTTAACTTTCCATTCCAAGGTAAAAAATTTCCAAACCTTATAAATTGAACTATGATAAAAATTATTTTTAAAACACATATTGGCACAAGCATTATACTATTACAACTTCAAAAATGTAGCAGTCATGATTATATTTCAGATTGCAAGTGTTTGAATCAATATTTAACATGATTTTATTTTTAAATATTTAAATTTTTCATAAATAAAGCTAATTTTTAATATTTAACATTAATTAAGTAATGCAAAGTAGAATCAATGTATAAATAGTGTTTTTAATATGAATATATAAAATATTTTAATGCTTAAGAAAATTCTGAACACATTCTTAGTTAATAAAAATGTATGATTTAAACAAATTAAACAATAGAAATTAACATTCAAAAATTGTTTTAAAATTCTTTCATTCTGTTTGATTTGATTTCATAAATATATAAACTTTCAATTTTTTTCACATTGTTTACTTCAAGACATTTCAGTTTTCACTAACAAATCAAAATTAGCAGGCTATTATTTTACAGCGTAATATTTTGTCAAGGTTAATTATAACTAAAAATATTTGTTCCAAAAAAAAAGTTTGATTTCAAAACTATCAAGTCTATTGATTTTGCTTTCTATGTGACATTCAAATATCTATAATCATGCTTTATAGTCTTGAACAATTCATACTTTAAAGTCTAAAGTTGTTTTTTAAAGTGTTGTCATTTATCTTGTACTATTATTTTCAAGGAAATGGCAGTAAAATATTGTGTGATAATTTTATTATTATCTATTTGAAATTATTACACAGTAATTTTCAGTATAAGGCAACTAAAATAAAAAAATATTGTTATAACATATTCCATCATGAAGTTTTATGAGGTTGGTTGCAAAAAAAATTTCAAGTATGATTGATAATTATCAGATCATCATCAGTAATCATGTTTTTCAAGGCTCAAGTATTTACAAATACTTTAGTTTCAAACGATAAATGACATAGCATAATGATTAAGGAGGCTGGTAATAAAATTGTTTTTAAACAGATCAACAAGGATCACACTAACAATGCTTGTAGAAACCTACAAAATTTAAAGATGATAGTGTGTCATAGCGCGATTCAAAATTCATAGTAGTTTTCAAATAAACAAAGTACATCAAGAATGTAGATTTATTGTCTGCAAGCTACTATTAAACTTTAGTATTTGAATATTGCAAATGATACGATACTGTATCTGAGTGCAGTGATAAGGAAAGAACGGGCTCTCCCCCGCCAGCTACTAACAGTGCTCGTCTCAAAGGACTCTTTTCCGCCTTGAAATGTTTAGATGGTCCTTTCCATCCTCTTGGTTTTTCATGGCTCCTTCCATTCACATCGTCACATTCGCAAATCGGCCAAAATTGACGCCAACAAGTGCAGGGCCTGAGAGTTGAGCGCACAATTGTCCATAATGAATACCGGAAGGGATGTTGGCAGTCGACAATCATGAAGATTTTGATATACTGACGAGAGCCTTCTGAAGGAAGCGTCTTAGCCTCCCTCTTATTACGGAAGGAAGAAACGGAAGACTGCGATACTTCATTATCGGTGCTCTCGAACCTTTCTGAAGTAGATTGATGGAATATTAAATATGGCGATGGTGATGAGATCTCTGAGAGCTGTTGCTGCTGCCACTGTCCACGGAGCAGGACTTGTCAGGTGGACGCATTCTCTGCGCCCTTTGAACATCACTCTACACCGTGCTCCACCTCCTTCTCCCTCTTACAAGGTATGAACTGCTCGTAATGCCTTCTATGTGAACGAGTTGCCCGTACGTGAATCAGGGTCTGGGAACATCGTCCATTGAGTGAAATTTTGTTGAAACCAATTTACGTCTTGGATATGCAACTGCCCATGATTACTTTGGACATGAGATGGACCAGTAGTTTAGGGTTTGAATGGTGCAAGGTAGATGACAGATTCTATTTCTCTCGGTGTATATCTGGCTGATCCCCTTCTGATGCAATAGATTTGTCTGTTACTGGTGTCTATGGAGGTTATGCCGATCCTAGGCTAGGAATCAGTGATGTGTTTTCCCCTTCCAGAATTTGCGAATATATGCCATCTATCCACGATCGCTATACGAAGAGCTTCGGAGACTATTGTATATGATTTGGAACGCTTATGAGAAGAAAGTGAAGCTTGTACTCCGTCCTCACAGCTCAACAAAAATGTAGATAGCTTGATAGCGTTCCTCTGATCTTCTCTAGAAGATTGACAGAACTTTCATATGTGTCGAATACATGCAGGTTTTGGAGGTGGAATACGCTAATGGAGACAAATTCCTCTTCTCTGCAGAGTTTCTAAGAGTGCGAAGCCCCTCTGCCGACAGCACTCGCTCCACAGCTAGCGGTAGTTCTAGGGTGAGGCATGTCAACAGCATAAATTGTTTGTTTGTCTCATGTGTTGTTCGCTTTGCCTGTGCTCGAGACAGAACTCGCGGTCTGAAAGCCACTGTGGGGTTGAAGGGGACACTAAATTGTCAGCGAATACATGTGCCTTGTGCTTCAAGTTCGTACTGAATGACCTGAGCAATTGATTCGCAGGTCATTTCAGGGAGGCGGCATGTTCATATATTAGACATTGAGGCAGTTGGGAATTATGGCATCAGGTATTTTTCTGCATGAATTATCTGACTTGAGCAGTAAGAGGTTTATCCAGGTCGCTCATCCACTGAAGCATTGCTTTTGATTCTGTGTAACTGATCCTTTCTTTGATAATCCTACTCTTCGATGTGAGATTGACAAAGATGAGAGGCTGCACTTCCTCTTTGTCTGCGAAGCTGAACTGGTTTATTACCGTCTCGTCAACTGAAACTAGCCTTTACTCAACTTGTGGCCAGAATCAAATATGACGATACACACGATACAGGAATATATACCTGGAAGTACCTGCACGAGCTGGGAAGAAAGAAATTCTATTACATGAGAGCTTACATCAAAGTTTTGCGAGAACAAGGATTGACCAGGAATCCACGGAGAAAAAAGTAGGCATCTGCTATTTATTTATCTGCTATTTATTTACCATTTACCATTTATATAAACTATAAGAACCTTAAGCAAGGAGCGTTCAAGCTGGATGTTTGTGTTAGCTGAGCATGAAGAATATGCTCAAGGTCAGCTCTTTTTAAATGCAGGGACGTATTTCGTTCGAGTAGTTCCCCGCGCTACTCCGAGAGACGATCATCTGACTTACAACTCTGAGCAATCACTTCAATCGTTGTCTTGGATTCGGCATATCCACCATGTACGCCGTGTTGATTCAAGCTGTACTTACCTGTTCTAAAGGGTTTTCAAGAGCGTTGAGCAAAGACATGTCAACACGCGCGGGTTAGCTGAACGGAAATAAACCGTTGCCAGTTCGTCCAACTGAGAAAAGCTCACCTTGTTCTTCGCAATCCTGAAGTCTTCTTAAACTGAAGTCTACGAAAGACGATAGCCTCAGTGACCACGGTGTACATGCGGGGTTGACACTCACAAATTGTTTCCTGTGTGAGACAACACCGGGAACGTTCCAGTCATATCTTCCATTTTCGAGTCATGCAAACATCACGACATCAAATGTTCCCAAGTAACGCCCTGGCTTCGGGATGTGTCACAGACCATCCCGGTAAAAAGTATGAGATAATTAACTTATTCAAATATCCTACTAAGCGGGCTATGAAAGGCCAATCCTGTAAAATTGGAATGTACGAAATTCAGTAAGTGGCGCATTTATCAGCCAACCTAAAATAAAGTTATCCTTGGCCTTATCAATGTGACGAAAGAAAGGACAGCCCACATTCTACAAGTTTTCAGTTTACCCAACCTCACCATTTCCGTAACCTCTTCCGCCTTTGCTCAGATGTCTGCGTCTGATGCACCCGAATGTGCAAGACTTATTACCCAGCAATGTTGCATCTGTTTTACATTCCCGCCGTAATCCTTCATGGATAAACCATCCGACACCAGCAGAGTTGTCTCTGAATTGTGGGATCGGTGTGTATATTGGTTGATTGATATAACCACCATGCAGTTTTTGAGGAATTCGGTAAGAATCTAGATGAGATACAGATTTTCAAGGGCCATCTTCTTGAGAAGACACCCACAAATCATGAGAAGCCGCAGTTCACAATCGATGTTCCACCATAACTGACAGAAAACGATAATCTAGATTTGGGTAAGGCAGGACTATTCTCGACAACAGAATCGGACTCTTCACACTACGAGATCATGCTCTCCTATCTCGGGCCATATTAAATCCCAATTTAGATTTGTCGTGGAAGCCTGGTAAATGTCCTCTATTGCGTGTATTGGTACAAGAAGACTGTAAATGGATCGGTATTTCACAAAACAGCCAAACTCTTCAAACGAGCCGAAAAGCACTGATGTCCAAGTTAGAAAGCCAAACAGATATAATACGCGAGACATCGCCTTGCATAGCCCTTATCTCGACTGAAGTCTGTCTTTACGTTACATAACTCACTTCAATTTTCAAATGCTTCAGATAACAATCATCTGCCAGCCAACCTCTCCTCCGTAGAATCACTTCCATGATGTCCAAATTGATCGCGACCTGAGCTGAGATACAAATCACTCTAGCTCTCAGCAGTTACTCGTTCTACCTTGAACGGAGATCTCGTATCCCTGGTGAATCCTTCCTTGTGCGTCCCTAACACAGAAGAAGATGGGCTGAAGTTTAGCTCCCTTAATAAAACGCAGTGGCAAAGGCTGACAGCTCAAAAGGCATGCTCTATCATGCAAAAGCTACTACTGACTCGGCCTCTCCTACCTGAAAGGATCTTCACAGATGGTAGATTCCAGACCAGCAGTTCAGATATTCTTCTTGGCTGATAACCTCGTAAGTTGATGCTCAAAAGGACCACTTTCAATAAGCACATTCTTTTGAAGGTGAGTCAAGCATGATCACAAGTAATTCACATCACTGGACACCTATGAAGGAAAAAATCAGACAACACCGTGTAGAGTGTTTATCCACCTCAAATTTAGTTTTGCTGATTACTCTGTATAATCCAGCGGTGCTGAGCTTCAAAGAGGGTTGTCGATCAGTAGCCTCCGCTGTCATCTTTGCACGGCTCTCTCAACTGACTTGCATGCATCCTTGAGGCGAGATACCAAGTCCTGTAATTCCTCAACGCTAGCAACAAACTCCAGCTTATCTTCCCTGCCGTCTTCTCTGTTGATAGTGTTTAAGCAAACTCGATACAGAAGCTCTCTCACAGCAGGATTATCAGGAGCTGGGACACAATACTCCAACTTCCACTCGACGCCCTCCAGATGTGGCAGATAGCTGTGGTTTGCTGTTTGAGACAAAAGCCCACGAAGATCGTCTTTTTTACCCGTAAACAACTGAGCAACAAGATCGCCTCTCGCCTCTGCAAACCCGCACTCGCTTCTCAAAAACAACACCACCTCCGATTGAGACCTGTCGTTCTTTGCTGCCTCGAGGAAAAGGCAAACTAGAGCAGAATAAGTTCGCTTAATCATATCTACATCCATATCCTCCAAAGCAGGACAAACAAGCGCAGTGTCCTCCCTCTCCAGCCCTAAGATGACCGCCAATGCGGCAATTCCCAAGGCCTCCACCTGGCTCTCGCTAGCCGTATCGACAGTCGCTGACAGAGCCTGAATTGCATCTTCTCCAATATCGATCAAAACCATCGTTTGCGAACAGCAACTGGTCAAATCAACCTCGAATTAGCAGCACCCTCTCGGAACGAGAATCCGCCTTCTCTTGTAATGCTGGCTCGTGACTCATTTCCGTAACAAGGAGGCCGAATTCACCCACAAAAATCCATACAAAACCTGCAGGAGCAATTTGGTTGTGTGCGTTCGGAATCCACTCTACTCTAGGCGCAGTTTGCAACTGTGCACTATCCAGCGACCGCTGCGTACATCGAGGGTGAGGATTTGCCACAAGAAGATCGGAGCATTGTCGCTCCCAGTGCCTCCTTTGCTTTCGTGATTGTTCGCCTCTCTGCTTGACGTAAGTCACGTGACCCGAATCAAGTGTTCACTCCCATCGATGATACTTCTTAGACTCCCTAAGTTAGCGAGATAATGGATGGCACCAATATTATCAAACTCTAAATATTCCCTATTGTATGTACCGTAAATGAACTATCCAATCATTACAAGATGTTATAAGGTTAGGTAGTTAAATATATCATCCAAGAATCATCATTACACATGATTCGGTTAACATAACACAGATATAGACAAAATTCACGATGAAAAAATAATTCATTCATTATAATTACATGGAAAACACGAATGTATTATCCAAAAAGATGTCAGTTATGTTTGTGTTGTTCTTTGTGTAATTCATTTTTTATGTAGGACAGATAGATCTTAGTTATATTAACTAGAGTAAAATTAATCTAATGTTAATTAACATGAGCTGAATTTACCACCAGCAATTCCCTTTCATTCACTCAGTTCTATAACCAATATGTTAATTATAGGAGAAGTACTCTAAAAAACATACATAGTTTCTTCTCTAAACTATATTATTTTGAATTATATAGTAGACAAAGCAAAAAAAATTTTTATCATGTGTAGAAATAACAAAATTACTAGTGAATTCTAATTATCTTTATTATGTATAATCTCCAAAGTAACACAATGTGTCATACAAAAGAAAAACATTTTTCAATTTATTAAATTTATTCAGTTTATAGTCAGTTTTGATTAGTAATATCTTCTTACCACGAACTCCTTGTCTAATAAAATAATATGTAGAAATGTTCATTTGGACTCAATCATAAGAAAACATCAGGAGTCCACAAGCACACACATCAAAACGCCAACACTAACATACGTGATTAGCCATTGTGAGTTATGTCCACGGAATATTGAAACTACTTTTAGTAAAAAAGTAGACATAGTCCAAGTGTTATGACGGTTTTATTCTTTGTTGTGTCTATGAATTTCGTGTTTTTTTTAACATGTTGTTCATCATTTAATTTGCAGAAAGATGTAAAGAAAGTTGATTATCAACATGGAGATTGATAAATTACTTATCCATCTTAGTGATAAGTGTATTCAATTATATAACATTTTTTTATGTTTTCACTGTCGTTACATATTCAATTTTTGTTGTGTGCTGATCTAAGCAAATTTGCAAAATAGATCTCCAACTAATACATACACGACACATATTCATTTGTAGATTATTTTTTTCAAAATTTGACAACAATAAGTATCAATGTAATCCATCAATTATTTGGCATTGTCTTATAGTACATGTAACAAAATATCATAATACTGAATACTCTTGAGTTATCCAAGATTTCATTTTATAATCTCTCAATGCACTTTTCTTGGATGTGACATGTACATGCTTACTTTGTTCATAGCAAAAATATTATTAGATATTGTGTATATAATCAAATACATGGGATTGTAAACAAAAATCATAGATAATAAATTATATCATCGCTTCATTGAATTTCAAAAAATATAATTTGCAATATACGATATGAGTTCTTCAATTCTTTTAGAAAGTTTCACAAGTGTATAATCCATGGTTTTGATATATGTATACTTTTTTGATTATCCTGTTATTATTTCATGAATGCTTTAATTTGTTGGTAATTGTGTGTAACTTTTAAAAAAAATTGGTGAAATTTGATATGTAAACACAAAACCTTGTTGGAACACAATCCGATATAAATATGTGTTTCATTGTTCTTTCATATGTTCATTGCTTATACAAATGAAAGAGATGTTTATATGATTTGATCATTGTTAAAGAACATTGTATAGCTAAAAAAAATCCATAATATCGATTGTTTGTGATTTCATGTGAAAAATAATAATCAATCATTGTGACAAATTTTAGCATTATAAAAATGTTCAATTTTATGATTTTAAACATGATGTTTTTCAATCTCACACAATTGGAGTTGATGATTGTACAACTTGATGTAACGACAAATGCTACAATGGCGATCAAGATTGTAAAATTTATGAAAATGGAGAGATATCATTCTTCTGCTACTCGAAGATAGGCTATGTTTGTAATATAATTTTTAAATTCATCTTTTGTAATCTATTTTTTGACAACATGTTTCTATAATATACATATTTTCCTTAAATTTTTTATTATTAAAATAAAAAATAATTATATAGGGTTTTCATTTTTACAAGATTATCTTTTATTTAAATATTATTGGAATTGAAATTAAATTTTATTTGAAAAAAATTTGTATAAAAAATGGTATCGTAATGTTAAAAAAACACAAAAAATAAATCTAAAGTCTCCATTGATATATTTTTATTATATTACGTTATAAAATTACAAAATTATATAACATCTATGTAATGATATTGAGATCAAATATTGCAGATTTCTAAGTAAAAGAATTCACATGATATAAAACGTGTGTAATATTACTTGGATAGATCATGAATCAAGTAATTCAATATAGTAATGTATTCACTCAAATTAAAAAATGATTTACATTCCATAAGATATAAATATCAATACATATAAATGTCTATACAACCTCATCAAAAACCAACCGAACATGGGAAGATTTTATGATTTGGGACCAGGACATTTGTGTCCAATAACCATGAAAAAGATGGAAGACACATCTTGGCTTGCTCTTCACGCTACCATCGAATCAACGACTTCGTTCCTTGAACGACGTCGGCGCGGTAGCGATTGGGGTAGAAATTGGTCTCCGGAGGCGACGGAACTGGTTCACAATTGGGAACAAGACGGAGGACAGAAGCACGATGCGTGGCTTGTTGTCAGGAACAGCAGATTGGTGAAGAATTTGGATCGAAGAACGGGGCCACGCCCACAATGCCTTGCGATTCGTGAGAGGTTGGAGAGAAAGGAGATACAGGACTGAGAATAGCGGAAGTGCGGGGTGGTGAGGGGAGCTCGGTGATATGGAGAGTTCTTTCAGAACGCGAGTGGATCGGACGTTCGGAGGGTTGTTGGGATTGAATCAAACGATTGTTGAGAGTGAATCTGTCTCCTCAAGAGTCAATTTACCTGCGAATGGTAATGCCCCCGACGTCTGGTTTGTCAGTGAGCGAGCCATCTCCACGGCAAGGTTCGCAAGGACTGGGGATGATGACGACGGAGTTGAAAGAGATGACAACGCTGCTGCGGACTACCGAAGGTTTGTTAGGTTGGAGCGGCGTGGTCGGAGGAGGAGGCGGGATGATCTCACAGCTGGTATGTGATCGCTTGTGCTTGTATGTTGCAATTGTTGGTCTTCCGGAAAATTGTTTTACACGGTGTTTCTTTTCTGGCATGCTTCGATCATCAGATACCTGCATTTTTGTGATATGAAACCTAATTGTATTCTTTTGGTATTTCTCCTTTCTTCTTGACACTGCATTCGGGACGAGTACTAATATCTACAGGATAGCATTTGCGTCATCGATTTAGGCCTGCCGAAATGACTGTTTTTTTTCGGACTTTGCGTCAAATTGCAATCAATTATCATTTGAGGCATAGGTTATGGCAGAATCAATCGAACTATACAGTCCTATGCACTTTCATGAATCCCGAGTACTCCTAGCTTGACCGCTGTCCACTTTACGTTGCGACGGATTAGCTCTTTACTCTGAGCTCTTGCAGATGAACCCGAAGATGAGGACAGTGAGGAGGAGCGTAGAGAGCGGAAGCGCGCAAGAGAGATAGAATTCGAAGGAGATATTGTCATAGACAGAAGTGAAGAGGACGATGACGAAGAAATACAAGAGATGAGGAGGATGATCGGTAGGGATTGTACTCTCGACTTTGAGGTAAGCAGCATGTTCTTTGTGGAGAAAACCTCCTGGATGCCAGTACTTATATTCCCATTGATCCGCACGCTGTCAATGCGGGGATGAAGTTTTATTTCAAAAAAAATTCGAATGTTTAGTACTTAAGATGCGGTGTCAATATTGAGATCAAAACGATGACAGCTGATGAGGAGCGATGTGAAAATCGTTGGAACTACTGTAGTACTGTGCGAATTTGTTGTGAACATCGTAGTGATAGTATACTTGAGTTTGGATGAATGTACTGAAACGAACAATTTGCAGGAGGAGGAAGATGAGTATGACAAAGTTGCCGTGGGTAGAGAAGGAGCTGGTGAGAGGATGTACATGAGGGAAGTTACGGGGTCTTGCCTTGAAATCTGCCATCTTCCTCCGGGACACAGTGGGGCTTTAGGAACTTTCCGAAGAGATGCTAGGGCTAATCATGCAGCGGCAGCAGCTCGTCTTAGGGAAGACATGGAAGGCGAAGCCATGGCTGGGACAACTGGCAAGGAGAGAGTTCCTACAGCTTCTCCGGCGAGATTGCCAAGCGTTTCATCCTCAATTTCATGTTTAAAGCGACATCTAGGCGATGAAGGGTTTGCTAAAGACGGTGCAGATGAGATAGTAGGGAAGAATGAAAAGCCTAGTGAAGCATCTTCTACAGTCAAAGAAGAATCGGGAAACGACTGCGGGATAGCGGAAGCCTGTGATGTTGGCAAAAGTTTTGGTCCCGGAAATAAAAAAGCAACTGAAAGTTGCAACTCCAACAAGGATATTAGAGAATCATGTCTCAAAACTGAAGAGCGCATTCATACGATGAGGAAGGAGAAGAAGGCTAGGACTGTGAGATTCGCCGTTGCCGACGATCCTTTGGAGGAGGACAGAGGAAGAGAAGCAGAGGTATCCATGAACGGATACCAGATGGGGACTCCAGAGGCCCAGACGAACACAAATAGGTTCGGAGGAACTGTACACTCCTTCCAGAACGCTTCAAAAGTTCCTGATTATGTTCGAAATCCTTCTAAGTACACCCATTACACTTTAGAATGGTCGGATGATGAGGAGGACGTCAAGGAAAATCTTTCAGCATTTCAGTCCTTTAAGGAACTGACGCAGGAAAAGGAGAAGCTCGACGGAGCGATGGAACCGTTGCACTCAATTACTTTCATACCAAAATTCAATGGAACTTTGAAAGTAGGTGAAAGTGGACAAGAGAAATGTAAGAAGGACTCTGTTTCTGTACAGGCTCCGTCATTGGTCAGTTTTGTGGAACCGGTGGTGGAGGATGACTTGAACTGCAAGACAAACGAAGACTTGTCTCTTCCGATCCGGTCGAGTGAGGGCAAGACTGCACGAGTCTTTCGGAAGAGGACCAGAACAATTACTGAAGACGATTCTGAGAAAGAAACTACGGATCCCTCGTAGCGGTTGACGTTTGTGCAGGTTATTATTTCGGTCTTGTAAATTATTGCATTCAGCTTGGAATTAAGGAAGAGAAGATCGCCTTCCTGCTTCTCATTTTCTTGTAAGATAGTCATGAATATGCGAAATCTTCTTCGTTGATGAGTTTGTGGGTTTCTTATTCCTTTTCCTTTTCGGCACAAAGAACAGACGGACGTGTTTAATTTTGGGGCTGCGATTTAGCACGTAGACATGCTATCTGAGTGTTATAATGTCATATCTAGTGATGGAAGCTTATCATTTAGGGTTTAGGGTTCCTGGATGACTGCGTTTGTTTGATTGGTATTGTATTATGAAGATTGATTCCATTTTTTTGCCTAAACTTTATCTGCCGAGGCAATCAATGTCTGTTGTTGGCTAGAGTGGATATTCAATCGAGAGGTCAGATTGCTTGATGTTACTCAAAACTTTTCTTGAGGAGAGATGTAGGCTCGTGCACCCGTTTCATCATTTAAATCTTTCGATTGCAGGTCTATAAAGTGCTTCGGGAATGCTCTCTTTCATAGCAAAGCACTACAAAAATTTTCAAAATATGTCGGTACTTTTTGCTAGGTTTTTAATTCGTTGCTTTAACTGTGTGTAAGAACCAAATCCTAGTACATTTTGCATCCAATCTGATTTGAATGACTGGGAAGTTAATACTGCATTTGTTACCTTGCTTTCTACAGGTTGTTTGGGTGTGCATGAAACTTGTAATGAGAGGAGTGGTATCATTCTTCTTCAGCGACTTATCAACAGAGATGTTAGCTCTCCGTTTCCATTGGTGTCCGGCCTGGTCTTTCCTTGCTTGCAGCTCTGTGTCGCTGTCGATGGTTTTTTCATGGGGTTTTTTTTGTCACATGCTCTCTTATCTATTATTGTACAAGTCCTCGTAAGTACTTCACAAGTCGAGCGACCTTAGATTCTCAACGCAAGAGAAATAGAGTAGGGAGAAATCATTGACAATAATGGGAACATCCGGAGGGAAAGAAATCATATAGGGAACCACTAAGAGCTGCCAAGGTCGTCACGTTACAGGGGTACTGTGGAAGCATGAAAAGAAATCCAAGCAAGGGAAGCCTGCGATATACCCACACTATATTGTGCTTAATACGCTACCACAGAACGAGCCTGAGTCAAGACGCAGAACGAACGCAGATGGCAGACAAGCTTGGTAACTTGGACCCTGATAATTTCGAGAGCTCGGAACAGAATCATGAAACTACCAAACTTTTCACTCAAAAGAAGGTTCTGAATTGAGGGTAGACTGAGAGAATCCACTCTTCTGGCGCTTGACAGAAGACTTGAAGACTTCTCTCAACGAAACCAGATGGAGTATACTCACGTGGTAGTCTTCACGTCACTCAAAAGGTTGGCATCTTTGTAATTACGTACACTCAACGCAAATAAAAAATTCCGGACCCATCCACTTCGTTTGTGCACGTCTGGGAATGAATAATGATTGTCTAAGCAATATGGATTCAATTTCACACATATTAAGGGTGAGATGTCATGCATTTGAATTGTGTTGTCATACATGAGTTTGCCTACTTTCTGAGTACATTTTGCAACAAAAATGTACGTGACTTGACCATTATGATGACATGTCATGACCATTTTGATGTTGTTGATGTGGGTCGCGATGGCTACATAGTTACGACTATTCAAAATCAGTATGGAGATGGTGATAACTGCATTTGTTCTGACTTACTATGAGAAAATACCAAGTACAAGGTTCCAAGTATGTTCCGTATAATTTGTATAAGATCCAACTTGGTTAATTAACAAGATGCGAGAAACCATTTGAAGGTTTAGAACAGAGAAAGAACCATAGGATTGTTCATTGAGAGTGAGAGAGCAAGATAATAGCAGAATTTGTTGTGGTGAGGCGAAGCTGTTTAACTTGAATAACACACGCCTGATGTATTTGAGCTTACAGTGCATGATTGAAAGTAAAAGATAGTTCTTGCAAAAAGTCTTCGTGTAAACTAATAAAAGTGAGGAAGTATTATTAAGTCCTCTTTTGCTTTGCTAAATACTATTGGTAGTTTTGTGTGAACTGATCAACGTGAGTAAAAGAGTAATGAGGATTATTAAGAGGCTAAGTGCTTTGGAAAGTATTGAGTAGAAGAATAATGAAGATTATTTTGAGGCTAATTACTTTGGAAAGTTTTGTGTAAACGAAAATAATCGATGTTCTGGTTTTGCCCTGGTAATTCTAGCTTTTTTGAACTCTTTCTTGCAATGTATATTACAAAGAGAATGCTAAAATTGGATGAGAATGTACTTATGCAAATGGCCATCGATGTATACCTCATGTTAGTCAATTATGATAGCACCATGTGGTTAAACACCAAAATCAATCAGCAAGAAGGCAAGAACAATTTGAATATTAGATCTTAGTCAGTAACTAGAAAATTTTATAGTTATCATTATGTACATGAATAATTTCGTCAAGGACTATGCCAACGAATACCAATTCCATGAACATAGTGCTCCAAATTTTATTTAAAATATATTATCAAAAAATAGTTATTATTATATTATTTTAATTCATTTGATCTTTTGAACCGAAAATAGTGCAGACTATTCACACCAAATCGTACATTTAGAATCCATGTGATGGCATCATTCCCACTGGTAGAACTTTCATTTGATGAGTTTCAACAAAAAATTGATCTATTTACACATGTGAAAAGAACATGTATGCAAAACAATGGCGCAAAATATTATATTATTATGTGAATATTATAAAAAAGAAAAATCTATTAAAAAAATAGAAAAAATTTTACTATATCAATATGTAATTTATTATCACCTTCTTCATATTGACTACAATTTTCAAAGTGATAGACGAAGGAATATTCATGCCTCACTATGTTTCATTCAATGCTTCTTCAAGCAAGTTTCTCTCAACAAGATATTATGTTCTTCTTGTAGAATTACTTTGCGAATAGTGTTACTAATATATTGTGAAAGTCTTTTGTTCTTCTTTTGCGTACTTAAATCATATTTTGAAGGTTTTATTTTTGTAACATTTATTCATATCAATTTAGATCTGAGTATGTTAACTGGATCAACTTATTGTGTAAAAGGGCAAAAAATTTATTATCACGTGATTTTGGAGAATAATGTCACTCGCATTGCATATGAGACTAGATGAAAAGATTGAAATTCTATTAATACATTTTTTTTATCAAAATTTATATTTTCTATATGGCATAAAATCAATTAAAGAAAGAGATTATGAATATCCAAATTTTTCTTCAAAGTCATCATGGAAAAATTACAAACAAAGTTATATAGAGATTTTAGGCTTACAGCGTCACGCAGTTACATCGCTGAGCTTATCCAATATACTTACTCCCAACTTTAAATGTTTTAAGCAAGGAATCTGGATGATTTGTTAACTTAGCAATAGCCATTGATCATGGATTATGTGCTTATTTTACTTTAGGTTCTATAGTGTTTATAAATGTAAGACGTCTGAGGCTCGATTTCGATGCGAACCTCTGAAGGCATAAATATTTATGCCATGTTGTAAATATAAATGATCTTGGTTTTAAAAAAAAATCTTAGTTTTCCTAAAATATGTTCGAGCACATTCTATAGCGTTGTTGTTTATCTTCCTACACATGTTCATTTATTTCAACAATATTGCAAGTGAAATTCAGTTTGCTAATCTACATCTAGGAAGCTTCTTGATTGAAAAGTGTGAAGAATTCATTTCATTTATTATGATTCACTATATCTTCAACAGCTAATCGTCTTACAGTAAACGAAATTTTAGAATATTCAAAACTGTTCATTTCTTTAAAAGAAATGAACAGATTTGAATAGACTAAATTAACTGAATAAAAAAAAAATAAACTTACGACGATTTGCAATTGGCCAAACTATTTAACTTCTAGAAAAAATTGAACCCAAAGATCTTACAAGAGTGAGATTCAAGTGCAAATAGCATATTTCATATTTAATACACATACGGAAGGTATTTTTAGTATTTATTATGATGAAAAAAAAAGACCACCTGAATAATCTTTATATAACACATTATTACCAGTTAACTTCATTTCAGTTCTTTTTTCTAAGTTGAAGGCCCGTCATAAAAATTTGTAGTTATTCGTTGTTGCATATTGCTTAATTTTTATTTAATTTCTTATATGGAAAAGGCTATTTTTTAAGTGAGCACGATTTTTTAAGTGCACGATAATCACAAGCATTTTCCCTTTATTTGATTCAATTTCAAACTTGCACTATGAATATTATTAGCATGTGTAGAATGCTTTTTGTATTTTAGGGCGTTCAACCTAAGAAAAGAAGTAAAATATATAGATCACAATCATTTTAATGTCATTAGACATTACGTTACATGTATTTCATGATCTCAGTCATATGTATTATAGAAATCCTAGGTTCATGTTCATCAGTTAATCTTTGATAGAGTGATTTCGAAGCGTGTCTTAGATTAAATATCTTCATTAAATGTAAAGATCATTTTCACTCTTTTAAAATTATGCACAATCCAGGTGAACTTGCATTCCGCCATAAGTTTGCCCCTTTGTAGCGTATTTCCTCAGTCGATACGATTTGGTGCGACGGTATTCACAATCATCATGCATGGAGATTAATCGAAGTGGATAGAAAAAACGTACAAGGAAGAAAAGAGCGGAGAATGGAGAATAAAGCAAAGAAGCGAGAAGGCTGCGACTAGTGTGAAAGCGGGTCATCAGCATCGAGGCGGTGCGAACGAAAGCGCCAACCGAGTGACTTGCCGGTCTGCAAATAGCACCCATGACGCAGAGAACTGCAGTACGCAGTCACTGTGAGAGGGCGATAGGGTTAGCAGTCGCCGCCGTCGCTATCGACGCTCCTCAGCACTGCGTAGGCCTGCGGATGGCGTCATCGCGGTCGTAGTGATGACGCCCAGGAGACTCGGGATTCGTTGCTTCGTGAGGACTGCGTACGGAGACTGGAGACTGTAGACTCTAGAACTGCGACTGCTTGTGCTGCTTCAGTTCCGAAAGGATGTTCGTACTCGGTTGACGCATCTGGCAAAGTGAGCTAGCTGCGGTTGAGAACGCTAGGACTCGTCCCCCCGTTCGCCCAATTCCACGTCCTGTGGGAACTTTCTTGCGCCGAAAAAGGACTCCTGTCGACCAAAAGTTTCGCAATGCAGTGTAAAGTGCAATGTGCACACGCACACGCACACAATGTCTTGCTTTTGTGCTCGAGGGCTTGGCAATTCACCGAGTGCTTTAATGACTGCGCGAGACGCTTGATACGAGTTCTTACACGACAGTGAAGGTACGGAACCAGATCGAGTACGTGAGAAAGACCAATGTTTCGTCCAAACGGCATGCTCCAGGAGAGGAACCGGGCTGCGAGTTGGAGCTAACTTTGAATGGAAGCCAGATAAGTCAGGACCTGCTGTACAGCACTGTCGTTGTCGCCCAGATGCATGAAAATGTTGGAATTGCTGATTTACAGACAGTTGTCCAGCTCGAGGATTTCATGACTATGCATCAAACAAAACGTACTCCATTCGCGCTCGCAAAGCCACCGTCAGTCGGATTCAGTATCACGTAGTCGTTGAAACACCCTTAATACCACAGCATCGACCGAGTGAATCTGTACAGGATTCATCATTTCGTTTACAGTCTCCTTCGCGGCATACCAGGTAGCATCAGATGTACATGTGTCAAACATGCACTGCGACATGCTAAAGATGGTAGAGCAGGATAGCATGTCATAATTTAGAGTCATTCAGCTCTAACTTGAACTTCACAGACGTACACTGAGATACAAAGGGTCAGTGAGCAGTCGGAAGGTATGAGTTGCTGCATGCATTCTTCTGAATCCGTGCCGAGAAGATCAGGATCCTTCTCTTCAGCTTGAAGGTATTTTCCGTCATCATAACACTTATGAGGCATAATGACTGTGCGCCGACAACTCATGCCTGAGCGAAACGGCCACCAACTTGGATCATACTTCCTCATTCCTACAATATCGGTCACTAAGTTTGTGGCGAGTGTCATATGTACAACCGATCTGTTCTGCACCAGCACCGCATGTGTCAAGCATCTGTTAGTCGCCAACACGTGTCTCTTTACTCGCGGAGTAGAGATTGGTCTCTTCACTATGAGCAACTTTTGATGAGCCCATGAAGAGTAGTATATAGTATCGTTCGATTCATCCGTATTCGATATCATTCGACGCACATCCAGGACTGATAGTCACTTTGGATAACAAGTTATCTACACGATTCAGGCAGTTTGAGCTTATCAGGTATGCCACTTTGTCACTGCCGCATGACTGCATAGTTGCATAGTTGCATTCGCAAATTTGCAAATCCTCTTTAGCATCGGTGATGATTATTGCTTAGATGTCCGAAACCTCTCAAGTTTTCCTGCAACTAAAGCCAGTATCATCGCCTAGTTGCCAGTTTACTGCACTGAAATAACTTGCGTGCAGCTATAACCGTCTGATGTTTGTACTTGATCGCGGCGCAGATTTGGACCCACGCGTAGGCATAGTCCCTATAGCCAATCGAAGAAACATGAGTTCCGAAGCCAAAGGTGTGTAATCGCTGGCCGTGCTTGACTGTGGTATTTTTCTGTTGGTGTACGTCAATGGCTGCTGTACCTGATCAATCAGACCGTTTACCCACAGCAGTGAGTGGAATCTAGAAGAATCGTTCTCAAAGTTAGAATCAAGGTTTTGCGCTGATCCCTTCGTCACTTCACAGACCAAATCCAATCGGGAGCAGGCGAGTCGAATGTGACAGAGTCTATCAAGGATAGAGCTGAAAATGTCATGGACAAACTGAAGGATAACGAAGACCACAAGCCGCAGACGCTGGGTGATAGAGTGGATCAAATGAAGGAAAGGCAAAGTGAGGTTTTGTCCGGAAAGACTTCAGATATTCACACCGCGAGACCCATCATGCCTGATGTCGGTACTGCAAGTGACCCCGGTGAAAAAGCTGCAAGGGGACAGGCGATGACGAATGTCCCTGAAGCTCAGGATGCGCTCAATTGAGTCCATCGATAAACATAGAAATATTTCGGCGTCGGCCCAGAGTCTGCGGATCAGAGTTAAAATCCGTGTGTAGATTGACACTGTATCCTGTTCAAAACTTGTAAAAAGCGATTCCCTACAAAGAAAAGATTTATATTCTTTCCATACCTGACCTTTGAATCTATGAAATGTGTAGAGCAATTTTGAACTGTCTGTCTCTATGCATGGTGTAAAATATAACGTATGCTTATAAACATATATTGATGGAGAAGCTTCACCTGTCACACATGAGTTGAAATGATAAACCTGCTTTAGCGCCAAAATGGAGAATACATTTATATACGCGACTTTTGACCATTGTCTGTTTGCATGGTGGATATTACAACGTACGCTTATAAACATATATCGATGGAGGAGAAATTAGCCTGAGTAGTCACACATGATTTGAAACGAGAAACACCTGCTTTTGCGCCAAAATGAATGAAAAATAGATTAAAAAAATGTATATACTCTTGTTTAACCTATTATACTCTTTATATAAACATTAAAAAATAAAATTTATCATTTACAAGATTGTACACGATCAATACAAATTCATGTAATAGCTTAAAAAAAATCGAACTTCAAAATTTACATTAACTGTAGAAAATTGCAAATGCAACAAATTTTTATTTTAACAACATTATATACATTGAAAACACACAAATATGATAAATATATTTATTTTCATTATTTTATTTGAAATAATGAAAATTTTCATTATTTCGATAATGAAAAATTATGAAATTTATAAATATTACTGAAAATGAAATTATCGAATTTAATTGCCAATAATTACAAAAAAATATAGAAGAATTTGCATTGAATGTTATCAATAGAAACAGATTGAGTAAGTGTATATTCTATTTGAATCAATTATACATTTCAATTTCTCTTATTCAAAGTAATTTGAAACATAATGCTTTTGACTTTAAAATTTGTAATAGTATTTCTTTTCATTAAATTTCAACATGCTCTCCTACATATAACTAACTACTCCAAATATGTTACAAATGGAATTAACATCAACTTTTACCAATATCGCTTTTTATTTCATTATTGATCAAAATTTTGATATATTACATGCAAATGCAAAATAATGCCTTCAACACACAATTAGTTTTCATTGTGGATATATATATATATATATATATATATATACTAACAAAAAATTTGGGAAAAAATTTATTATACAAACGAATATATCTATATGTATTTTAAATTTTGGTAAAAATATTATCATAAAAGAATACTTTTATATGTATCCATAATTTTGCATGAAGATGAATTGTTTAGCTTTTGATATAATATTTTTTTTAAATTATTTGATGACAAAATAACAACAATAAAATTTTTAACGAGAAAATGTAATCAATGATTATAATCATCAATCAAGATAAATATGGGTCTAAAAAAGAAAAAATTAAAAAATGCTTTGATAAAACTATTCATATATTGGCATCTCAGAAAATACAAAATTGTCATCTTGTTCAAAAAAGTATGCTAAAAGTCCTACATTCATGTCAACCAAAGCACTAAAAATTATTTAAATTTTGTTTGAAATTTTCCATTATTTTATTCGAATAATTAATTTGATTTAAAAATATGCGTAATAATAGCTGGGTTTTCGAATGAAATTGACACAATATTGATGTTTTGACTATCTGGCTCCTCCAAGATTTGATCAAAAAATCAAATCATTTGTGTTCTATATGTATCTCTTATAAGAAATAAATATTTATAATGCATTATGTTTAAAATGATGTAAAAATGAGGAAAAAAATTTCAATATATATATCATATTGTCAAAAAATACATATTAAAACGATGTAGAATGTGAATAACAAGTAGTTGTATTATGAATAAATTTAATATCAATTTTATGTATAAATAGTATCATAAAATTCATATGTGATCTTTCACATCAATGTCTTCCATCAAATTTCATTGTTCTTTCTAACACAAGTTATGTAACATTAAAGTACATAAATCATAATATAAGAATAATTGCTTTGGGTTCAAATTCTTAGTAAAATACTCAAATATGGAATCCTTAATTATTTTTTTGATATCAAAACTAAAATAAAAATTGAATAGTAAAGAATATACGAAATTTTCGATATTAAATTTTTATTATTAAAAAATCAAAATTAAAAAAACATAACTGAATCATTTGTTACAACATTTGAACTTGTTAAAATATTTAAAAACGTTCAGAAATAAATTTAATAATTATTTTCATATATAATTAAATAATATAAAATACAACCATGCTCAGTGATGTACATAATAGTTTTTATTAAAAAAAATTTGAAATAAAATCTAATTAATCACTAAATTATGTTATTTTAACATATACTATTATATAATTTACATATTATGATACTTGGTGAAATAATTAAACATAAATTTCGTTTAATGATTATTTAAATATTTAATTAATATTATACATGTTATTAAAATAATACATGTTTTTCATACGTATAATATGCTTTATAAGTTCATATTTTTTATTCTTACAATCAAGAACTTAAAAAATTTCACATTTAAAAAATGATTGGAAAAAATAGACTCAATAAACATTAAAAATATTTTTTAAACCAATGTATTGTTACTTTGCAGATAACTTTCTTTTATTTATCTGGAATCTTTATGATATTCTGAATGAATTTTTTGATCCTATATAACTGCAAGGTTAGTGTCCTAATTCAAAAGTATTTAAACAAGTAAATTTGATTCTGCTTTTTATCATTCTTTTATTTCATTTGTTTAAAATATTCATTTATTCATTCATTTTCATTCATATCATATTCAAATTTAAGAAAATAAAACTTCAGTCAGATATTTATTATTTTTTTAGTAGAATTTTTAAAAATCAATTTTTTATGATTAGGTTATTTTATAAAAGATTTTAAGAAATGTAAATAAAAAATTTTATCGTTAAAATCTATATTTTTTATTCTCATATCAAAAGAATAATTTTGATTCAGATTAGTTTTATTTTATATCACTTTCGATATAAATTTCATGCATACATTTATTTATGCAATGCTAACATAATAATCCACATAATATTATATGGATCACATCATTCTTAATGTATTTTTAGATTTTTTTTGAATATCCTTTCCTTTTTCAGATTTTAGATATCGACTTTCTGACTTTATTTTTGAGTATTGTCTTTCATATATATTTTCATCACATATATATTTTTGAAATTTTCTTCACAATGAAGTTGATATCAGAAAGGTTAAAGTGTTTAAATCTTTTTGATAGAAATCTAGTTGAAAAAGGAAAATTTATTTTATTTTAATTTAATTTTTCAGTCTTTGTTTTAAAATTTTAAAATTCTGCAAAATCCTTTAATCTTTTGTTGTTATTTGAATAATTTAGCTTATTGAATCTTCAAAACATATGAATGTAGATGAACACAAATAAAACTGAATAGACAAATGTAAGATGAATGTGTTGTTATCATACAATTACAGATAAATTTTGTTTCAAATAAATGATGAAATAAATATTTTAAATATTATTTTATCATATCGGAAATGATTATCTGGAAAGACATTCATGTCGTCGAACAGTAGATAGTGATTTATTATCATCCTCAATAAACTTTGATTTTCATTGTGGTGTAAAAATTTTACAATTCATACATTAGTTTGAAAATATTTTTCTTCAAAAATGAGAAAGATGAGGGTATATTGAACACTTATTAAAATCATATAAAACTAAACAAATAATTGATTTTCAAATGTGACTTGTGAAGTAGTTTTTGAGTGACAACAGGAATTTATTAGAATATTAACATTCAAAAGAAAACATATGAATCAACAGTCCCACTAAAACTGGATATTGGAAAATGTTAATTTCACGTGATGCAGAATTGTCTCTTCATGGAAGTTGAGGTAGACCATGTGGTTCAGGGAAATAGCACGGTGTCTACAGAGGAGGTGCTGCTTAGAGCTGTTTTGTTTGGTGGAGGAGAGGAAAAGCGGGTGGGTCCCAGAACAAAGCCTGTGAATGTGCGGTAGATGTGGCGGGAAAGAGCGCTAAGAGACACGAGTCAAATGCCTGTCAGAATGGCCTCATTTATGGGTTCAATCCGTAGCATGTAAGATAGCAAGTCCGAGATCTGCCATCCTGAACCGAAAACTGAAAGAGGATCAAATTACAATGTTGAAGTGGATAGAGCCTTCAGAAAATGACGAGGGAAAATTCTCTCCTTATCATCTGCTTGCTTCATTCCTGCTACTTTCTCTTTTCGGGTTTTGTTTCTAGGAGAACCTGCCGATCTGAATGCAACGAGGGTTGAAAGACGACAACATCAGGATTTTGTCACCATCCCTACCAGGTTCGGATAGGATCCACTCACGATAAGAATCGAAGTTCCGGATTTGGACTGTTGTTTCTTTCGTGGTAGTTAAAGTGATGGAAAAAAGTTACTGCACATATTGCCTCATGATACATGTAAGATCTGGGAACTGCAAAAGAGAAAGATTCAAAGATCTAACGAGCTGTATGAGTGGGCTCCACCTGACACTCCTGCATGCACAACCTGACTTCAACACTAGATTTCACTGTTGTGCATCTAGAATCACCATTGGTCGCAGAGAAAGCCGTGTGCTGCACAGAATATTTGGCTTGAATCCTCACGTACAGCTCTTCGAGGTTTGAATCCTACCTTCGAGCATTGCTATGCATAAAAATACGCATCTCGCCAAATCTCTTGTTGACCTAGACCTGTACATGACCGATCTCTTTGCTTCCATAGAGATGAATGAAATACGATTACAGCCAGATTTTCAGGTATTCCTTTCATTCGCACAATTGCGCCTGACTATTGAGCACTATCATTCAGCACTATTGAGACATGCGGGTCCTACTTTATTATGCGCGTTCAAATATGATATGCTGCGAATTTGGGAGAATATGCATCGGGTTGTGGAAGGCAATGCATGAAAGGAGCTGACAGCCGGCCCCACTTCGTATATTATTTCCATAGGAAGTGCGGGAATTACAATGCATGGCTTTAAGCGGATGAATTATTATTAGCTCTTAGTCCATTGTATTACACTCATTTGTTAAAATGGAATTTCGTACCCAAATAATGACACAGAAGTCCCGA